GGATCGGGGTGGGCAGGGACCGGGCACTCAGGACCATCATCTCCTTGGGGCAGTCAGGCCTGTCAGGCGCTTGGGGCCTTGGCCTGGGGTGGTCATTCCGGGCTGTTGGGGCCTGAGCCCTGGAGCTGGGCTTTGGGGCCTCAGTCCAGCCCCTGGGCCTCTCTGGGCCTCGGTCTCCCCCTCTGCGAGAGGGGAGGACAATGCCCCAAGCTGGCAGGGTTCTGGGAGCCACTGGCACGTGGGGGCATCAGTCTCTGACCGTCCACCCTCGCTTCCCTGGCCTGGCTCCGGCCCCACGACCAGGGCCAGGTGTCCGTACTACGCCGATGGCTCCATGCACCGTCTCCTCAAACCACCCGGCTGCCGTGGCCCCGTTACGGGGGAGGGTGGGCACAGTCCTGTCACCTCCGCCCCATCGCCGGGGCCCCGGGCAGGGGTTTCGGGGCACCCAGCCTGAGGTGACCTTGACTCTGCCTGCAGGGGATGTCACAGCTGCATGTCCCGTACTCGGAGCACGCCAAGGCCCCCGTGGGCCCTGTCACCATGGGGCTGCCCCTGGCCATGGACCCCAAGAAACTGGGTGAGGCTCTGTCCACACTGGGACTCGGCTGTCGTGGGGGGCGGGGCACGCTGGGAGGCCTCGGACGCTCGGCTGGAGCGCCTGGGACACGCATGCCCCTGCATCCCCGGGTGGGTGGGGCCAGCCCTGCGTCGCCGCCCCTGGTGCCTGACAGCCTCGTTCTGGTTCTCAGTGCCCTTCAGCGGGGTGAAACAAGAACAGCTGTCACCACGCAGCCAGGCTGGGCCCCCGGAGAGCCTGGGGGTGCCCACGGCCCAGGAGACGTCCGTGCTGAGAGGTGAGCAGCAGCTCTGTTCCTGGCACCTCCCCGGGCCTCTGGCGTCTGCCCCAGGCTCCCGACACCTGCCTCAGGCCCCTGGCAGCTACCCAGGGCCCCTTGGGCCCTTCCCAGGCCCCCACACGCACCCTGGGCCCCTGGCACCTGCCCTGGGGTCCCTGTACCTATCCTGCCCCCAGGTGCTCGAGGTGGGGTCCTGTGACCCACTCATGCTAGGAAGCGCCCTCCCCCAGGATGTCTGGAAGCCCCGCCACAGCTCTTCCCCCAGCGGGGACAGGGGACGTGCGTTCAGGTGCCCAGCAGGCTGTGTGGGTCTCTGGGACGCAGTCGGGCCGGCCCAGGACCCCCAGCCCTGTGCGTGTCTTCCAGGCTCGGCTCTGGGCTCGACTCCGGGCGGCAGCATCACCAAAGGCATCCCTGGCACACGGCTGCCCTCGGAGAGTGCCGTCACCTACCGCGGCTCCATCACCCACGTAAGTGATGAGCATCCCTTTGTCGTTGCCAAACCCCCCGGCCCCCCTGGACAGTGCGGTCCTCGAGGAGGCTCACTGGCCAGCCCTCACCTTGTCCCCGTGACGGTGGGCGTGGGGCGGAGAGCCAGGTGCCAGTGTGGGGGTGAAGCCCATGAGCAGGTGGGGCGGGGCTCGGAGCAACGGGGCTTCCAGGGCCACCGCGGCCGGCGAGGAGGGGAGGCCTTGAGGGGGTGGCACGTCAGCGTGGCCAGGGGAAATCAAGAGTGCGGGACCCTCGGGGAACTGCACTCCAACCCAGAACAGCCTGCACGAAGACGGAGGGGCGGGAGGGGCTGAGTTGTGCCAGGACTGGTGCGGCTGGGGAGGGGTGGACCGAGGCTTGGGGTGGAGGGTGCCTGGCGCTAGGACACCCTGCAGAGAATGGGAGCCCACAGGCACACAAACACACATGCACACGGGTGCGCACATGTGCCCAGCCTCACACAGGCATACACACATGCTTGCCCGGACACATGCACACACACACATGCGTACACACACACGTGTGAGCCGTGAGCTTTGAGCAGCAGGATGGTCCCTGGGAGGGGTCTGTGGCCCCCACAGCCTCGAGCCCCGCCCCTGAGGAGGGCCCTCGCCCTCCTGTCTCTGAAATCTGTGGGCTCTGCCGTCACACGCTTGCCCAGGCAGCCGCGTGGAAGGCACAGAACAGGTGCGGGCTGAGGTTGCGTCATGGGTTGAGGTAGTTCCCGGGCACCTGCCTGCCCTGGGTCTCCCAGTGGCCGTGACCCTCGCCACATCACCAGGATGGCTTTTGGCGGAGAGTGGCAGTGCCAGGCAGGGCGTGGCCCCACCTGCAGACACGGTTACCAGCCATGTGGGTGCCACGTCCAGGTCCCGACACCAAGAGGTCGCAGCAGCCTCTGTGTTGCTAGGGGCCTCCTGCGTGGTCTTGAGAGTCCAGGGCAGGACTCACCCAGTGTCCACACTGTGCATCCATTCCAGCAACTCTCCTGTCCTGGCTCGGGCACCTCGGACGTCCTGCGTCCTGCGGTGAGAGCCAGCCAGGCTGTGCCGGGGGTGTGAGGCGTCAGTGGGTTCCCTCCTGAACCTAGAGAGAGGGGAGGAGTGTCAGGGCTCGAGGGCACCTTGTCTGAGCCAGATGCTGCGGTCTCGACGCAGCGTCTCCGTTTTGTAGATGTATGAACTGAGGCTCAGGGAAGCGGGTGACCTGACGTGGGTCCCGCCGTGGCCCGGGAGTGGAGCTGCAGCTCGACACTCACGGCCTGACTCAGAGCCCGCTCTGACCTCACACGGTGTCCTCGGAAGACACCCACGGCCACCAGCTCTCCGCTTAACAGCCCCGACAGGGAGCTCACTCCCTCCGAGGCTGTGGTTCTCAGCTGGGGGCGGTCTTACCCCAGGTGTCCAGGGACATGCCTGATGGTCACCCTTGGGGGTGGGGGCGTGGGCCAGGGAAGGTGCTTCCGGCATCTGGGGGTTGAGCCAGGGACGCTCGAACGTCCTGCAATGCGCAAGGTGGCCCCGCATGTCAGTCGTGTTCTGGAAGAAGCCCCAGGTCAGACTGAGAGCTCTGGTGTCCTGCCCTGGCCCGGGCCGTGTCCTGGTTTTAGGCCCGGCACAGATACGGGCAAAACCCCTCGTCTCTCTCCCCGGCCGCTGTGCGTTGGACTTGAAAGCCAGGCTCTGAGGAAGTCAAGCCCTCACAGCGGGGGACACAGGCCCCAGGACCAGGTTGTCCGAGTTCAGATTCCAGCCAGGTGCCTGGGTGAAGTCTCTCCACCTCTCTGTGCCTCAGTTTCCCCGTTTGAAATAGGCATAACAGACCTACCTTAGGGCTGTCAAGGATTATGTGAGCTCTATAGAAAGTACTCAGAGCAACGTCTGTTACCTGGTAAGCAGGCTGGGCTCGGTGGCTCACACCTATGATCCCAGCACTTTGAGAGGCAGGAGGATCACTTGAGGCCAAGAGCTCGAGACCGTCCTGGACAGCATAGCGAGGCCTCGTCTCTAACATAGAAAATAAAAATGTTAGCTGGGGGTGGTGGCACCCTTCCGTAGTCCCAGCTACTCAGGAGGCCACGGTGGGAGGATCACTTGAGCCCAGGAGTCCGAGGCTGTGGTGAGCCACGATCATGCCGCTGCACTCCAGCCTGGGTGACACAGCAAGAGCCTGTCTCTAAAAGAAGAGCCATGGAAGTCCACAGCAGGGGCTGCCTGTTCCTAGGCTCCTGGCGTGGTCTCGCTCTGCGTGGCCGTGTTCCCACGGGCCCCGCCCCCCTCCCGGGGCGTGTGTACGGCATGTGGCGTGTGGGGGCTCCGGGTCTTGAGGACCGGCTGCAGCCTCCTACACTCGCCTCGCAGGGCACGCCGGCCGATGTCCCGTACAAGGGCGCCATCACCAGGATCATCGGGGAGGACAGCCCCAGCCGCCTGGACCGGGGCCGGGAGGATGGCCTGCCCAAGGGCCACGTCATCTACGAGGGCAAGAAGGGCCACGTCCTGTCCTACGAGGGTGAGTGGCCGGGACGTCCCCGGGCCCGGCCTCCCTCTCGCCCCCCGCCCCTCAGTCCTCCCTTCTGTCCTTGGGCCTCTGAAGCCAGGAGCGTGTCTGGTGGGGACCTGGGGAATTGCTCACGAGGTCCCTGGGTATGCCTCAGCCCCCCACACACCCTCGGGAGGGCTCTTGGGGTGCAGACGGGCCTCGCCTGGCTTCTGGTCGTGGGGGCCCTGGCCAGCCAGGCTTGTGCCCCGCACCTCTGGCCTTGCCCTGTCTGGAGCCGGTCGAGAGAGGAAGGTTCTGGAAAGAGTGCCGGGTTCCCGGACAGCCAGGGCTCTTTGGAAAGCATGTCCGGGGGTTCGTGCCCCCCGTCAGCCTGGGATGGTTGAGGGTGGGGATGGAGGTACTTTTTGCCGGTGAGGAAACAGGTATAGCCACGTCCCGCGGTCCATCTGAGCAGCCCCGAGGAGGCGACAGGCCCCCTGAGGCAGCTTCTTAGGGCGGCAGGGCTGGGTGGCCCCGGGAAGCTCTGACTGATGGGTGGCGACCCCCCCTCCCAGCAGGCATGAAAGCCAGCAGCCGGCAAGGGGGAGGAAGTCAAGCCACACAGCTGCCTCCGGCCTCTGCCCGGGTTTTGCAGTGTAGTAGACAAACTTGTGGCCAGCCTGGCTAGGAGCGTAGTGGGGAACTGAGGCCCAGCATGGCAGCCCAGGCTCACACTGCCAGGCCTCGAGGTGGGGCCTTGTGGCGGGGGCCATGCCTGGCACTGCCACCCAGTGGACGCCATCCTGGGGACGGGCCGTCAGCCACGTCACGGGTGCCAACTTTGAGCTTCGGAATGGCACCCTGGAATTCCAGGCCAGGAACCTTGACAGACCTTAAGTCTGTCGTCTTAAAAACGGTTTTGTTGTTTTTTTGAGTTGGAGTCTCACTCTGTTGCCCATGCTGGAGTGCAGTGGCACACTCACAGCCACCCCAGCATTGACCTGCTGGGCTCCGGCAATCCTTCCACCTCAGCCTTCCAAGTAGCTGGAACTACAGGCGCACGCTACCACGCCGGGCCAATTCTTGATTTACTGTGCAACGAGGTCTTGCCAAGTTGCTCGGACTGGGCTCGAACCCACAGGCTCAGGCAGTCCACTCACCTCGGCCTCCCAAAGTGCTAGGATGACAGGCTGAGCCACCAAGCCCGGCCCCCAAATGGGGCCTTGACACTCTTGTGCTTCCTGGGTATGAGAGAGCAGAGAGGAGGAGAGTCTGAGGCCCGCCGCCCCTGCCGCCGCTCACAAGTAGCTGATTGTTGGCCAGACTTCCCATCGCACCATTTTATCCAGAATCTCCCAACCTTGAAACTTCAGCAGTTGGTTGGGAAAAACCTAAGAACCACCACCAGCCCCCACCAGCAGGCAACCTCGGAGCATCTCTCACTGTGAGGGTCCTGTGGGGGAATGACTGAAAGAGGCCTGTAAGAGGCCAGGTGCGGTGGCTCAGCCCATGATCCCAGCACTTGGGGAAGCCGAGGCGAGGGGATTGCCTGAGCCCAGGGGTTTGAGATCAGCCTGGGCAACTTGGTGAGACCGCATCTCTCCAAAAAATCAAAAAGCAGCCGGACACGGTGGCATGCACCTATAGTTCTGGCACTTTAGGAGGCTGAGGCAGAAGGCTTACCTGAGCCCAGCAGGTCGAGGCTGCAGTGGCTGTGAGCATGCCACTGCACTCCAGCCTGGGTGACAGTAAGACTCCAACTCAAAAGAAAAACATCCTGTAAGAGGTCAGGTGTGGTGGCTCATGCCTGTGATCCCAGCCCGTTGGGAGGCCGAGGCAGGAGGATCCCTGGAGCCCAGGAGTTTGAGACCAGCTTAGACAACATAGTGAGACTTCCTCTCTACAAAAAAAATTGAAAAAATAAGCCAGGTGTGGTGGCATGCATCTGTAGTCCTAGCACTTTGGGAGACTTGAGCCCAGGCAGTCGAGGCTACAGTAAGCTTTGATCACGTCACTGCACGCCAGCCTGGGCGAGAGAGTGAGACTCTGTCTCTAAAGAAAGAAGAAAGAAAACTCTGTTTGAGGGAGCTTTCCACTCATTCCTGCCACCCCTGGACGCTGCCACCCTGGGAGGAGCCCCCGCCTGCGGGGAAACCGGGCCCTCACCTCCTATGGCCGCCTCCTGTGGTGCTCAGACCCTCCACCTGCCAGGGACCACACGCTGGGTCCACATGGGCCCATCAAGTCGGCGAGGCCACCTCTGCCCAGACTCCTGCACGAACTCAGCACACACGTGCTCCATGTGGGACTGCGGGTGGGGCCCGCACGAGTACACACCCCACATGGATCCGCTGGGCAGACCACACCCTGATGTGTGCCTGTGGACCCCCATCCGTCTTCACCAGCTAGGGGCACACACACATGCACATGCATCCACACATGTGTGCACCCAGGCACTCCCTGCACGTAGACCTGCACAGATGCACACAGCTGTCCGTGCTGGCCCTGCACTCCACGCTTTTCTGATGTAGTCTGCTCACACACGTGTGTGCACGTGTTCACATCACGTGTTGGTGCCCATGTGTGGGCACGGACTCCTTTGCTCATGTGTGGTCACAGGCACATGCCCGCATGCTGACAGCAGCCTCAGGCTGGGCATGGATATGAGTGCCTGTCCTGCTGCTTCCACTGGGTCCCCCAGGAAGGCTCTCGGCTGGGTGCTGGGGATGCGCAGGCACAGACGGGAGGGCCCTGGGGACCTGCGACCCGGGCCTGTGATGGGGCTCGGGTGGACTGCTGTGAGCTTTGGCTCCACCCACCTCCGGCCCGTGGCTGGCACTGCGGCCGGCCCCTCACGCGCTGTCTATTCCAGGAAGCGTGTCGGCGTCCCAGTGCCCCAAGGAGGACGGCCGGAGCAGCTCGGGGCCGCCCCACGAGGCGGCCGCCCCCAAGCGCACCTACGACATGATGGAGGGCCGCATGGGGCAGGGCCCTCTCCGCCGGCATCGAAGGTGGGGCCTCGCGTGGTGGGAGGTGCCTCGGCGCCCCAGGGCAGGGGGCGGGGCAGGTGGCCCCCGTCCCCAGACGGGAAGCTGAGGCCAGGGGTTCCAGCTCAGCCTGGAGGCTGTGCAGGGCCTCCGCCCTAGCCAGGCCCTGTGCTGCCGCCCCGGAGTGGGGCTGCGGCCCGTGGCTGTGGGCCCTCCGCCACCCGGGGCCGTGGGTAACGTCACTCCTGGCCCTGCCCCCAGGTCTCATGGGCCGTGCCATCCCGCCGGAGCGCCACAGCCCTCACCACCCCAAAGAGCCGCATCACATCCGCGGGTCCATCACGCAAGGTACTGCCCGATCCAGGCGCCCTGCGGGGACGCCGGACAGCGATCCGGGCGGGTGTGTGATGCGGTGGGCGTGGCCAGGCCCGAGCTGCGAGGCGAAGGTGTTTATCTGTTGGAGAACAGAAGGGAAAAGCAGGATGCCCCAGCCCTCCTGGGGTGCCGTTCAGGGGCGCCCACTCTGTTCGGGCCCAGTGCCCCCCGATGCCTTGAGGGGGCAGTCTCGGGGTGGGGGGTGCAGAGAGGTCAGGGCATAGTCCCCCGTCTTGGTTGGGGCAGAGTCGCCACCAGGACCGGCAGGTTGTGTTCCTCCTCTGTATCACTTCACCACAGGACAGTCATGACTCGAGGTGGCTTTTAGTTAACGCTCCTGTTGTGAAGATACTGAGGCTCAGAGAGGTCAAGTGGTATGCTCAAGGTCACACAGCAGGGAGGGCTGGACTCACGCAGTCCAGCTCCCAACCCCACCGCACAGAGGTCCTGGCAGGAAGGGCAAGCAGGCATCAGTACTGCCCTCCCCGCAGGGATCCCCCGCTCCTATGTGGAGGCTCAGGAGGACTACTTGAGGCGGGAGGCCAAGCTGCTGAAACGCGAGGGCACGCCGCCACCGCGGGACCTGGCCGAGGCCTACAAGACCCGGCCCCTGGAGGCCCTGGGGCCCCTGAAGCTGAAGCCGGCGCACGAGGGCCTGGTGGCCACGGTGAAGGAGGCCGGCCGCTCCATCCATGAGATCCCACGTGAGGAGCTCCGGCGCACGCCCGAGCTGCCCCTGGCTCCGCGGCCGCTCAAGGAGGGCTCCATCACGCAGGTACGGCCCGGGAGGGGGGCACGGTGGGCCTGGCCCTGGCTCCAGAGCTCTGGGGCTCCTGACCTGGGACCAACCGGCCGCTCGTGACCTGGCGTTGGGCCTGCGGGTTCCGGGGTCTGTGCCGAGGGCCATAGGCCCGTGACCTCCTTGGACATCGCGAGGGTCTGTGCCCACCGTCTCTGTTCTTCAGGTAGAGAACTGAGGCCTGGAGAGGTCTAGCAGCTTGCCTGGGCCACAGAGCTAAACAAAATGGCCGCCGTGGACTGAGGCCTTATCCTGGGCCAGGCATGGCTCTGAGTGAAGTTTAGAGAGGTTAGGCGGCTCACCCAGAGCCACGCAGCAAGGAAGTGGCAGTTGTGAAGCCCAAGTCCAGGCGTCCCTAAATCTGCAACGCCATTGCCTCTCGGCATCCCCTTTTCCCAGCAGCAGGCTGTCCCCCACCCCTCAATCCCGGGAGGCCTCGCCCCTGAAGGCCCCACCGCCCAGGGCCCTACCCCAGAGGCCCAGCCCAGTAGGACAAGCTCTGCTCTCATGGTGCCAGGAATTGGTCAGGAGAGATCCCTGAGGGCCGCTGTCCCCACGTGGTCCAAGGTGGCCCAGGATGGAGGGGAAGGAGCGGAAACGGCCCCCGCCTGTGACTGTGAGGAGGAAGGACCCCAGAGGGTCCCTCTGGGTGAAAGCTGCGAGGTGTCTGGGAGACGGATGTGGAGAGTCAGTTGCTGAGGGGCGGTCTGGCTCTGAGCATTGATGGAGCCCTTGGCCAGCACCCAATGTCCAAGACGGGCCAGTTTCATTCTGGACTATTCCTTTTGGAACGACAGGCATTTCAGCTGGGCGCAGTGGCTCGTGCTTGTATTGGGAGGCTGAGGCGGGATTGCTTGAGCCCAGGAGGTCAAAGCTGCCATGAGCCGTGATCATGCCGCTGTCCTCCAGCCAGGGCCACAAAGCAAGATCCCAACTCAAAAAAAGAAAATTTAGTGTATGGCCCCTTCCTGTGAAATAGGAAGCCATTCCTGGAGAAACACAGGGCTCTATCCCTGCACGGCCAAAGGTCCACAGATTGTGTCCCCTCTGTCCCCTTAGCCGAGCGTGGTCTTGAGACCCCCGGCAACCTGGCCGCGCGTTCCTAGTCCTGACGGAGAGGGTGCGTTTCTGCAGCCCAGAGCAAACACAACCCAACCTCTGGCCCCGGGCAGAAAGCCCAGGCTGGTCGGGGCAAGCTTAGCGTGCTTCCCCCGCCCCCAAGGTGCTGGTGGGCCGCGGAGCGTTCTGCCCGCGTTGGGGGTTGGGACGCTTTCCAGGCCTCGGGCCAGCAGAGGCTCCACCGTGTTCCCCAGGGAGGCTGAGCATCCGGGCAGGGCCCGCAGGCCGGCAGGAGTGAGGGGCACCCGCCCAGGGTGGGCACAGCCCCTTCCTCCTGATGGAGGCGAGAGGCCGTGCTCCCGGGTCACGGTGTCAAGCCGAGGCTCAGGCCTCGGGTCACGGCGACAAGCCGAGGCTCAGGCCTCGAGGGCCAGCGG